CATTAACATTTTTGAAAATTAAAATCAAATAAAAAAACTAATAAAAACTAATTTCAAATTCATTCCACAACAGCGAGATAAATATAAAAATTGGAATTTTGAAAATAAACAACTCGAATCTATTTTGATTCAGATCCAAAAAGAAGTTAAAATAATTTTTTACTTCAAGATGATACATGAAGAAAAAAAAAAGAAAAAAAATGAAAACATAAACTATAACTAGAGCAAATGAATAATTTGTTGCTAATCGTAGGAGGGGGAGAGAGAGAGAGTACAATACAGTTTGCCACATGTCATCAAACTAGCGGAATCCTTATATTTCTCTATTAAGGGCATCTCTAGTCGAAAACCCCAAAACCACTCCATAAATAGTGGGACCCACATGCCACATCATCCATTTATTCACTCCCTAAAGCTAGGGTCCACTTTTATCACTCCCTAAATGAAAATGTGCTTTAGTGTACATCTCCATCCTCCTTAAAATTAGATGTACATGTATTAAAATATAATAAAATATATATTATGTTTATCTTAATTAATATAATTTTCTTATTAATTTAAATTTAAATATCATATTATCTTAATTATTTTTAACATTTTGTCACATTTGTATTATTACTATATACACCTTGCTAGTAGTAAAAAAACTAATCCAACAAAGTTGAATTTTTTTTAAATATTTTATAAATTAATTCTAAAATAGAATAAATAAATAAGATAAATTCCAAAAAAAATTAACATTTATATAAAATTTAAATATTCAATGAAGAAAAGAAAGAATATTCATCAGTCTTAATTAAAAAAACTAATAAAATCATAATAATTGTATTATTAATAATGAAAGTCATACAAAAGTAATTGGCATATATGGAATAACATAATTAAAAAAATATTTTATTTAAAGGTAAGTGAAATAAATAAAAAATTCATGAAATATATAATATAATAATATAATAATGGATAAGGCCCACCAATGACCTTCTCTCTCCTCCCTAAATGAGTCCTAACTGTGGGGACTGATTTGGGGATTTCCTAAAATTGTGAGAGTTTTAGGGAGTTACAAATCACCCATTAGAGCATCTAATTTCCCTATAATTTGAGGATCTGACACTAAAATACGAATTGGGAGCTCCACTACGGATGCTCTAACGGACGGTCCGTCTCCAATGCTATCCCTTTTTGGTATTTTAATGTGACTTTTTGTAATTTTATAATAATGTGCAGCTAATTATAAATATTCCATGATAGGGGAGATTATTCTACCACATCTTTGAGAGATGAGATTTCAAGTTGCAGAAGACAAGAATCGTTCACAATGAATCCCTTTTTAGGATCTTTCATAGTTTCAATCTCAATGAATTTATACAGTCCGCAAATTCTGGAGGAAGCCGTAAACAAGCCACCTCCTGCAAGAAAAACAAATGTAGTATTTGATGAGAGAGATTCAAGGAGGAATATCGACAACAATTACGAACCCTTATGTTTTGTAACTTACTATATGATTTCTCGTATTCATGATAAAAAACCTGGTCTTTGATACGTACTGTAAAACATGCTTCCACGCTTCCACAACCGAGATAATACAGATAGATGCTGACGTGGGTGTCTAATTTTATATAAAATCCTTTCGGGTAAAGCCTAATCTGCCTTCATTTATCAACAGAAGTACTCATGTCAACAATGGAATAAGTGCAAGGATATATAACACACATAGTTCCAAAAATAAATTAAATAAAAAAAAAACATAGTACCATTTTTCGCCTCCAACACCGAATTCCTCCGATTCCCAACGTATTCCGAGTTTGGAGTAGTTTGGAATAATCCAATCACGTTTGTAAGGAATGTCAACATTTCTTGAAGACACGCATTGAGTGATTGCTTCTTTTTTAGCCACAAAAACCTCAGCGCCAAACACACATGACTTGTCACCGATTACATATCCGTTTGATGGATCTGTCAGACTTTCCTTTGACATAAATTTTGAAAATCCCCATTTGGACTTCGTTCCTAGGAAACGTCTTGTTCTTCCTGTCCCATACATATACAACAGTAGAAACTTGATAAATTAATAACCTCGATTAAATAATAGTTTCTCTCGGTTCCGACTCGGTGAAAACGTGTTAAATTATTAACTCGATAATTTAATAATTCGCTAAATTAATAGAACTTCTCTAGTGATCCCGACTACTTGTTTTGCAACTTAAATAAACTAATTGTGATCATATACGGTTCAATTGTAATTAGCTAGAGAACAAGAATAGTACGTAGTGAAGAAAGATACTTGCCGGAAATATGATTAAAGAGAAAGATACTGAAGACAGCATTGACCTCCACAGGCTGAGAACATGTGTCTACCATAGCCAAATATACAGAAACGTAGCCGCTATCTTTTCCGACGTTGTCGTCTCCATTAGGATAGATTATTAGTTTCCTGTACAAGTTCAACCATTTACTTTTTGATTTTATCAAGCAACAATTGCGCATAAGCTTATGCTGTTAGTGAAATGTATCATTTAATATCAATATCTCAATATCTTAGTATACACAATACCACTTATATTCCCCAGCCGCAAATTCCTTAGTTTCGTACTTCTCAATTTGATACTTTTCAAATAAGGAGAATGATTCGATCTTGACCAACAAATGTGCAGGTGGTGCCTCTCTTGTTTCCATTCTGCTGAATTCTGCAGATTTAAGCAATATATACTAATTTTTTTATTACACACACACACACATATATATATAAAATGAGAAAGAAAAGAAAAGAAAGAATTAGTTTTGTGAATATCGTAATATAATACATACCATGAAATTCTGGTAACACTGGTATCACAGACATAATGATTCAATCTTTTCTACTTTGTTTAATTTGTTTGGGAAGAATTATAATGAGGTTCTTTGTCACATTTTATACTAATAATGTACAAAGTCAATGGTGTTTATTGACAAGTTCAAATCACAATCTTGACCAAGTCTCAAAGAAAGTACCACTAGATATAATACAATATTAAGTTATCAGACATTAGAGTTTTTGTGTTAATTAATTAAAAGCAAGTGAAAGCAAGAATTATTGTATAAACAGAGTGGAAATTAAACCATTTTAAAACTACAAGTCTTGGCATTAAAGTCTGATCCTAACACGTTAGAGAATCCAATGCTCAATCAATGACAATGAAATGGGAAAATAAATTGCTATAAAACTACAAGTCTTTAGTTGTCACTTGTCACATGAAAGTTTAATCCTAGCACGGTAAGTTTAATACTACAAAATATAATTGTAGTATTAAAAAAATAAAATGGTGCAAATGTCTCCCAATTTTAGAGAAGTTTGAAATCTTCAAATCACACAAATATCAACCTTCAATCACGGTCTATGTGGCGCGGAAACTTCAACTCTATAATATTTTTACGTTTCAGAAAGGTTTCGTGTCCGATACTCGAGGACATATGTTTGACATCTTATGGGTCATTTTGGAATTTCTAGAAAGTTAAAAACACGTTGAAAAGTAAATCTTCAAATATTTTTGTTGCTTCCTTAATTAATTACATGGTCTGATAATCAATTGCAAACTGGTAATTGATAGTAAAATTTATTTTAAATATATATGTATGTTACTACCACCGCCAAAGAAAAGAATAAGAAGAGAGGAAGTACAGTGTTCTCTACGGAATAAAGAAATAGATGAAAGGGGAGAATGATAGACAAATTAGTGAAATAGATGAGATAAAAGAGAAAAATGGAGGGAAACAAATGTAGATAACAAGGAAATGGAGGGAAAATTGAAGCAGAAGTTTTTAAATGGAAAAGACAACAATGCCCTTGGATTTCGCATTTGCAACGCGCGTGGGTTCAGAACCGGTCAGTTTGACCTCAAAACGGGCAAAAAATGGCAAAGTGACACAATTAATGGAGTGCGGGTGAACTCGTGCAAAAAAAAAATGTTCAAGTGGTGATCCGCAAAAATTTAAAAAGTTTAGATGGTTTAATGGTATTTACCCTAAAAATAATTTATTCATAACTAAAATTTTATATATATTTATATAGCATATTTAAAAATATATTCGTATACTTTTAATACTTACACGCTTCTCCCCAACTCCTGTATTCCCATTTTTTGGGGCATGCCGTTTCCCCGTATTCATTTTCCCGTTTCCACGTATCGTCGTTTTCCCGACGGTCAACCGCCGGTCTCCGAAATTGAATTTTTCTTTTTTTTGGGAACTTTTTTATTCTCTGTACATTACTGTATTAACAATAAAATTATTGTCTGAGATAGTAATATTGAATACCAAAACAGTAATATTACTAATATTGTTGTCTCAAACAGTAATATTACTGTCCCAAGCAGTAATATTATTGTCCCGAGCAGTAATATTATGAATATTACTTTTTCAAACAGCAATATCACTAATATTACAGTTCTACACAGTAATATTATTGCATAAAACAGTAATATTACGGTCGGAGACAACAAAATTGCAGGCCACGATGATAAAATTAATTAATAAAGTAAAATTATTGTCTAAAACAGTTAAATTATTGTCTCTGACAGCAAGCCAAGACAGTAATATAAATTAAAATATTTTTTTTAAGAAAAAACAAGTTGAAAAAAAAAGGTGAACGCCAGACTTGCCGGAAAAAAGATTCAGAAAAAAAATGTTTCTAAAAAAACAAAAAAAAAAAAGTCAACGCCGGTCACCGGCGATCTCCGAATTTGGAATAAGGGTCAAAATGGGTTAATTGGTGAAATATGCTAAATTGTTGTGTAAATCATGAAATTGGAGTTGAATTAGGGTTTCAAGGAGTTGTGGGTAATTTTGGTATATATAAAAGGGTTGTTTTCTTTATTTGCAAATAAGTTTGAATAAGCTGGATTTATTTGGAAGACAAAAAAGTTAAATGTCCATTTAAGAAAATGCTCTTGTCATGGACCTATTTGCTATTTGTCCATAATAAAATACTAATATGCACGACTTCAACAACAAAGAAATAACAAGATTCCAGTAAACCGGTATACATATATTGATAAACATATAAACATGGATTGCCAGAACGGTCGAGCAGGTTGTTGCGGAGACCCTATCTTTCCAAATAAAATGCAACATCGGAACATACAATTTTTAATAAAATGCTAAAAGTTAATAAAAAATGTAATTTATATTGAAATTGTAATACAATAACATATAAAATGATATTACAATTCCTTTAAGACCTGTATCCTTGCAAAAGGGTGAAAAAATGTAAATCAATTTAAGGGGGGAAGTCTAAGTTCTAAATAAATCTCATAACATTTTTTATAGAAATCTTAAAATTAGGGGACTAAATTGAAAACTCTGAAAATCTAAGAAATCCTAGTAAGATTTTTATTCTTGCGAATTGACCCTGCTTCAAGTAAGAATTAATTTAAACACTGGGACCTGATTGCAAATTTATATAATTACACACATGTAATCTGACATGATTAATCAACATGATCTACATGGTTACTGAGACTTAAACGCGACGGATTTACACAACCGACAAATGTTCTTCACACGCAGCAATCGGAATGATATTTATGTCTGCACTCGAGTTAAAATTTATGGATTGATCGATGGGGAACTTAAAAATTGATCAGTGGTTATATCTTTATACTTACTTATTCACCTCGTTTTCATGCTTGTTCGCCTTTTCGCCACTTAAATACCATGAAAACAAGTAAAATACAACAAATTCATGATTTAACCTCCTAAATGCAATTATGATAAAATACCCCTAAATTAGACACAAACACTGCACAATTGTTCAATTCTTAGCTTAAATAGACGCTTATAATTATACATTAGTACACATTTCCTGCCATAATGTGATGCCAAAACAAATAAAGGTCCTTATTTTCTTGTGCAAAAATGTTGTTTCTGATGCACCACAATCTGTAACATACAAGTCAGAAAACACATCTTATAATCATCTTGCTTCAAAATGTGGAGCTCGAATGGAATAAAACGGGTACAAAAATAAGAATATTCCATATAATCTAGAAGATTGCACTAAATTTGACACCACAAGGGTGGACCTGTAAGAAGACTGATCCGAACAAAATTTCCGATTTCCCTCCAGTCTAATCCGAAGAATTTCGATTTTGGTCAGGTTTCGTCAATTCCAAATTCCGATTTCCAAAATTTCTAGAAAAAAAATAAGATGGGAATCGAGAATACATATCAAAATTTTGAAACTTCCGATTCCGATCAGAAAATAGTTCCGATTGTTTTATGTATATTTCTGATTATTTCCAAATATTATTAATATTTTTTGAATATTTATCATTTCCGATTTGGTTTATTTTTATGGGTAAAATTCATTTTGCACCCATGTATTATGCGAAATGTACCATTTCCCCCATAAAGTATAGAAAAAAACGCCCGCAATTTTTTATGGTCAATGGTCAAACTTTTAATGGTGTTAAATTTGAGCGTGAAATGACTCTTTTACCGTGCGTTATCTATGATATAATCCATATTTTTTAAAGTTTATTTTTGTGGATTGTTGATGATTTTTAGCGATCATTTAATTTAGAATTTTTTGTCGATTTTTTAAGTTTGTTTTTTGGGGTTTTCAATTTTTTTTTTGGGGGAGGGGGGGTGTGTTTGCCATATGAAGGGTAAAATAAAGTTTGCACCCCTTTAGTATTAAAAACTACAAAAACCTCCCTCCGTTAGTGATTCTGTTAGTATTAAGTTATCAGACATTAGAGTTTTTCTGTTAATTAATTGAATGCACATAAAACTGCAAGTCTTTAGTTGTCACATGAAAGTTTAATCCCAGCACGATAAGTTTAATACTACAAAATATAATTGTAGTATTAAAAAAATAAAAAAAATAAAATGGTACAAATGTCTCCCAATTTTAGAGAAGTTTGGAATCTTCAAATCACACAAAGACCGACCTTCAATCAAGGTCTATGTAGTGCGGAATTTTCAACTTCATAACATTTTTGCAGCGCGGAAACTTTCAACTTCATAATTTTTTTGCATTTCGTGTCCGATACTTGAGGACACATGTTTATTTTGCCGCATGCTAATCCTTTGTTGGTTAATCCTATAGAGTGAGGCAGCATCGGTAGAGGGCGGCGATGGGTTACTAGCACCGCCAAAGAAAAGAATAAGAAGTGAGGAAGTACAGTGTTCTTTTCGGAATAAAGAAATAAATTAAAGGAAAGGGGAGAATGATAGACAAATTAGAGAAGTAAAGGAGATAAAAGAGAAAAATGGAGGGAAAATAATGGAGATAAGAGAGAAATTGAGGAAAAATTGAAGCAATTAGGGTTTTTTAAATGGAAAAGACAACAATACCCTTATATTTCGCATTTGCAACGCGCGTGGGTTCAGAACCGGCATTTTGACCTGAAAACGGGCAAAATATGGCAAAGTGGCACAATTAATGGAGTACGGGTGAACTCGTGCAAAAAAAATTTGTTTAGGTGATGATCCGCAAAAACTTCAAAAGTTTAGATGGTTTGATGGTATTTACCCTAAATATTTATTCATAACTAAAATTTTATATATATATATTTATATAGCATATTTAAAAATATATCCCTATACTTTTAATATTTACACGTTTCTCCCCAACTCCTGTATTCCCATTTTTGGAGCATGCCGTTTCCCCGTATTCATTTTCCCATTTCCACGTATCGTCGTTTTCCGGACGGTCAACCGCCGGTCTCCGGCGTTGACTTTTTTTTTTTTGGAAATTTTTTTTCTCACTCTAAATTACTGTGTTAACAACAAAATTATTGTATGAGATAGTAATATTGAATACCAAAATAGTAATATTATTGTCCCAAACATTAATATTACTAATCTTGCTGTCTCAAACAGTAATATTATTGTCCCAAGCAGTAATATTACTGTCTCAAACAGTAATATTATGAATATTACTTTTTCAAACAGCAATATTGCTAATATTACAGTCCCAAACAGTAATACTATTGCATGAAACACTAATATTACGGTGAGAGACAACAAAATTGCAGGCCAAGACGATAAAAATTAATTAACAAAGGGTACGTGTTAGAGGTTTGACTAACAGAATTACGAAAGAAACTAACGGAATTAGGAAAAAAACTAACGACAGGGTGTTAGATGTTTTCGATATATTACAGGGGGTAAATGATACCTGTTAGAATTATTTCGTGCAAATTAATTATAAATTTGTGTCCGATAAATCCCAGATTCAGTTTTAGCTACTGTTCTACTGTTTTACGAAGAGTTGCAACAGTTAATGGAACAGAAATAAAAGGACACAGATTTTAAAGTGGTTCGGATACAATTGTACCCTACATCCACGGGGACCTGCAAATGAAATTCACTAATTTTTAGTTTTACGAATACAGTAATAGGACTTAATCGAAAATGCAAAGACTCCCTCTTTGTCGACGCCGTTCTTGTATCCTACGCTGAATTGTGAATCTTCACTTTGCAGCACGTCCCTCTCCGCACGGTTGAAATTCCTTCAACGCTGAGTCCCTCAGCCGGCGGATCGACCTCCTCCCGAGATCTTCTGAATTCTCCTCCCGAAGAATCGATCTTCTTTTCGGTGAAAGAAGCAAAAGCCTTTCTCTGTATTTTCTTATCGGATTAAGATCAAAGGTCTGAGGCAGCAACGTCAGAGCAGAAAAGGATTTTTCTCTCAAAATAAAAGGGACAACGTATTACAACGTTGATGCTGCCTTTCTTATACTTCCTTACTTGAATTAGTGGAGCCCTACAAAATTAGAGCCCATTAGGTTAGATATAATCTTCACGTAAGGAACAAGGAGTTATGTAAACAAGGAAAGTCTTAGTCAAATAAATTCCTTGTTAATAAAACACACTACCAAAAAACATGGCTTTTGTAACGGAAAATTTGTGACACACTAAATCTGTCACAACTAGTGATCGAATTAGTGACAAATTTGTGACTTCTTCCATTACAAAAACTCTGCAAATTGATTGCGACGACTACGTGACTAATTTTGCGACGAATTTCGTGACAACCAAACTTTTGTCACATTTCAGTCATATATTGTTTGACAGAAATTAGTTTTGTCACAAATCGGTGACATATTTTATGACGGAAAATAGGGTGGTCACAAATCGGTCATAATATTTTTAAAGAAGTATGAGTTTGACTAATATTGGTCACTAATTCGTCACAATCCCGTTTCCATCACATATCTGTCACATACATTTCAGTCGTAAATCCGTCACATTCAAGGTTTGTCATTGATCTGTCGTTATTTCATTGTCGTCACACATCTGTCATAGATAACTCCGTAAAAAATCTGTCATATTTTAAATTATGTCATTTATTTGTCACTGTCTTTATTCAATCACAAATCCGTCACATGTAATTCGGTAATGGATCTGTCACATTTTAAGTTTCATCATTAATTCGTCACTTTTGATATCCTAGTTACATATTCGACACATATGTGTGTTGCTTAAAAATAATCACATTTTGATTTTGATTTATTAATCATTTATACTTATTTTGATCTTTGTAAAACAATTTCATGGTGACTAAAACTAATATATAATATATTAAAAAAAATAATAATATAACAAATATGAACTATTCTAATGCTAATATTACAAATATATTTGAGATATTGTTCAAAATTCATACCATAAGTTTATATATTATATTAAATAAATTAGATTTCTCTTTAATTCATTAACGCACTTGGACAATACTTTAATCTTTAATTATTAAGATATTTTTTTAATTATTTATTGGCTAGGGGATACGAAACTTAAAATAATCTACGAAAACAACAGTTCAGAGAATTGTTTAATTTTGTTTATTATTTTGATCCATTTTTGTTAACAAGTAACTTCATCGATCAATTAACTTATATATGTAACATATTGTATTGATGTAGTAAAATATTTACTTGATAATGTGGATCATACTTATTATTAGTTATTACTGTTATGTGAGCTGTTTTTCGCTATTTAGCCTAAGCTTAGGAGTTTGTAATTTACCCTAAAAATAAATAATTAAAAATGCATTATTTCATTTATATGTCATTTTTTTACTATTTTGAAAAAAGAAATTGATTAATTAAAAAATGAAGCGTACAATTAAATTAAATTAATTATACTTTGATTTGTAGTATATTATGTAATAATCAATGATATCAGTATCGGACCGGACACAAAACCGGATCAGCTTTCGGGTTACAGTTTGACGGGTTCAATCGATTTTTTTATTTTTTTAAAATTTTTAATAATTTTATAAATTTTAATATTTTAAATTATAATTTATATACATTTTTTTAATCTTTCACACTTTCTTCCCCTTTATTATATTTTTGTATAGATTCTTCCCTTTATTATTCACCACACTTATTTTTCTAATATTTTTTATGCCCTTTTTTTCTTCTCTCTCTTCCATCTCTTAATTTTCTTCTCTCGTCGGCCGCCGCCTCCTACCCATCATCATCTGTGTTCCCTTCTCTTAATTGTTTGTTCTTATTTTTTTTCTTCTTCCCTCTATCTCTTCCTTTCCTATTATTTTTTTTCTTCTTTTCCACCTTTTTTCTTCTTTCATATCCAGCCACACATATGTTCGGCAACCCACGACCAAACCCGTCGAATTCCGGCAATCCACGGCCAGATCCGTCAAATTCCGGCAACCCACGGCCTACTCCATTCAGATCCGGCCACCCCCTACGAACTCCGGCCAAATCCCGCCACCAAATGCCTCCGACTCAACGTTTTGTATGGAAAACGGGCTCATTGACAAGTTTCCGGGTTCACCGTTTCAGCCGGTCAAACCGGGTTTTTTACATTTGACTCCCACGCCCCCACTACCATGAATTAATGCCGTGGACACTGTGCAACAAGCACCAGAATACATCCACAAAACGTCCGGTGAAAAGGTTAGGGTTTCTGGACTTAACGATTTTTTTTCTATACTCCAACTCTGTTTCAAACATCAAATTCAAAAAACCATCGATGGCGGTAGACTGAGAATCAATTATTAAGATTGCAGGTTTGCTTCTAGTGTTAAGACAAATATGATTTTGCATCAAAGTTTGTCTTTTTTCGGATTTTTTTGTTAGAGAAGAGCTAGAATTTTCTTCTTCTGGAAGATCTTAGTGGTCGGATTTTTGAATTTTGCCCGTTCCTTACCTAGTGCTTACTATTTTGGGGGTTAATCATAAATAGCATTTACCCACTTCTATGTGGTCTACCTTATGTTTCCTGTGGAGATAAGTTTATGCTATATGGTAGTATATACACAGCTGAACGGAAAAACATTGATGCAAGATGCATTTCTTGTTTGCCAAATGCCAATAGCACCAAGAACTCATCACAAACTCTACATGACCCATGCATAATCAGGGAAGACAGGAGTATTTTTTTATGATAGATTACACATCAGTAAGTATAAAGGAATAATTATGAATTATTTCTCCATATTCATGAAACATGCACATTGCACATTGGAATTTACTGATTGTTAAATAAATTTCTTTGCTCGCAGGGTCTCGCGTAAATTTTGTTCGAGTTCAAATTTGAGGCCTCAATGCAACAGCGGTCTGATCGAAACCAGCTTTCTGCATCAAAGCACGTAAATGTGAATGATATTGATCTCGAACGTAGTTACAGAAGAAATAGCTTTTTTAACTTGTATCGAATTGAAAAATTTGGTGGCTTTTTTCAATTTTAATGCAAAACTTATTCATTTTTTCTTTCGGTCTATGTATTATATGTTTTGACTATTGTGGAATCGTATATGAATTTGGTGTTCTAAGCATTTTCAGTGAGAATTTATTTGGAATCTTCTGTTTTTTGTTAGTTTTGTAGTAGATTTTGTGTTTATTATCATTAATTTTGAAGTCGAATGAAATTTTGAAATATTCAGATAACAGGTATAAAAAAAATAAAAAAAAAACTAAAACAGCTTTGAATAGCGAAACCTCCTGCATCGACGATGGAATTGTGACTGAAAGATAATTAAATATTTGTAACGGATTTGTGACGGGATATTTGTGATGGAATTTTGTGACGGAGGTTCTGAATGAATTATTTGTGACCGATTTTCCGGATGGATTATTTGTGACGGACGTGGTTTATGACGGCGTCTATCACGGATGAGTGATGGAAATTCTCAGTGATTTGTGACACATTAATGACCAATAAAAAGGTTTGTGACGAAATCCGTCACAATACTTGGAGACCGTAGATTACATATTTGTGACGGAATTTTTTCAATTGCGACGGACATATCTGTCATAAACATTGTGACGGACAAGAAAAATCAGTCACAAATTTATTTTGTGACGAGGGTTTTTCTGACAAAACAATTCGGTCATATATTTGTGACAAAAGGGCTTTTGTGACAGATTTTCATCAATTTCGTGACTGAATCGTCCGTCACAAAAGCCCTTTTTTTTGGTAGTGAATGTCCTACGATTGTAGTTTGTGTTTTCATGATCCATTTTGCGAATGCAGTTTTGCGTGAGTAATTTTGTGCATGATTTTGTACTGTTACTTATGTGCGTATCTTTTGTAGCGAGTGTTTTTGTGCACGTTTCTTGATGCGCATTCGTGTCCTCGAACTGTAGCGGGTATTTTAATGATCGCTGTTGGAATCCAATTTTGACCATGTTCGAGTCCGAATTTGGAATTTTACATTAGACAGGAATTGTAGCCAGCTGAAATAGCTTTCTAATGCCGCCGGAACCAGTCGATTTGGAGTCCGGATGAGAAAGTTATGCTCGACTTTGTGGACACTACCGAAGATGTTGCGGGATCCTCTCTTCTAATTTGATTTTATTTTCCTAATTGCATCTCTTTTCTTACTCTTTCATCATTTTTGCTTCATGGACACCTAATTATCAATTTGTACCTATAGAATACTATATCCACCTATTAAAACAGAAATATAAATAAATCAATAAAAAAATAAACGTAAACGTAAACGTTGAGTGTTATTTCTACACTCCACTGTATCTTTTGTATCTTGTGTTTTTGTTGTTGTTTGGTTATGCGTATTAAAGTCCTAGTGTTGTTTTTCGTGTTTTTAAGAACGTTGAAGCGAATGCACTTTTGCGCATGTTTTTTAACATGTACGTTTGTGCATGTCCATTCGAGCGAGTGTGTTTGTGCATGTTTGTTGATTTGTATTAATGTCCTAGGATTGTAGTTTGTGTTTTCATGATCCTTTTTGCGAATGCAGTTTTGCGTGAGTAATTTTGTGCATGCTTTTCTACTTTTACTTATGTGCGTATCTTTTGTAGCGAGTGTTTTTGTGCACGTTTCTTGATGCGCATTCGTGTCCTCGAACTGTAGCGGGTATTTTC